GGGGGGGGGGGGGAGAGAGAATAAAATAGCAAATTCTAAATATGCTGCTCTGAGAGCACTCTCCTGAGACAGGAATGCTTGTATAGTTATAAAAATAGGAAGTTAAAAAAGATACTTAAAAAGGTTTACAGAAATTTTAGAAAAGAAAGTAATTACACTTGCTGTTCGGGAGACCAAAAGAAGGTAAGGCAGCCCAAGCTGACTACTGTCTAATTATGTGGGTTGCAAAGGACCAGTCACTCTCTTGGAGCTCTCTTATAGCAGGGTTGATTGTATCTGGCAAGGAAAGAATCGGATCTGAGAACAAAACAAAGCTGAGAAGTTCCCAGTGTTGAACAGTATAGCACAAGAAGCGTTGATGCCTTTTTCCATACTAGCTGTGCCTTACTTACATGGTGTTCTGTATAAAATAATGTGATCTGGACCTACACTGAGCCTGAAGAAGCATGTGATGAAGGGATTTGTGCGCCTCTTAGCTGTATCACCTCGGACCTCTTCAGCTGTGCTGTATCGGTGATCCAGGAATCTCTCCTCTCCTGAGGAAACAGACCCAGCCTTCTGCTAGATTTATGGTTCACCTCACATGCCAATTTCAAAACCAGTCTTCCTGGCTCAAGAACTATGTAACAGCCTTTCACTTGATGCTGCCCCATGGTCCTTGTGTTTGATTAAATGAACAGAGAGAACTAAAGGAAGACAGGAGACAGAAAAAGTGTTGGCAAGTATGCCTAGGGATATACTGTAGGATCTGCTATTTTAGTTGGAGGTGTAACCAAAAATAAAAGTCCACAGTCATGAACACAAAGTATATTATCTTTCTCTCCAAGTAACACATGGCCGTATCTATTGTCAAGACCAATTTAAAAATCTCCTTCCCACCGGTAGTTAGATCTTCAGAAGGTAAAGAAAGGATCCAACAGTGGAAGAGTCCTGTATATGTTCTTAGCTGTGAACATCAGCTAACCAGGTAACTGTGCATCTCCCTGGAATTAATGCTCAGAACCACGCCTGAGAGATTGCCTAAAGAAGAGAAAAACAAAGCACTAGGATTAGCAACTTGCGAGATGTTGACACGAACCCCCCTTTTGTAGTAGGAATGCTTCCACCGAATGAGGTGGTGGCCTTATTAAATCACATCAGGAGAGAGTGGGGCATCCATTCTGTGTTGTAGTGTGGAACATGTCGGCTTTTGATGAGTTGTGGTCAATTTTACAGTTTTGACCCAGTGATATCACAAAGCGGCATGAGGGGAGCAGGCGAGGGAGGAAAATGAAACCACAGGCTTCCTTTGAAGATGACACTGACCTGGGATTGGACACTGACTGCCATCAGCAATAAGGGAACTCTGTAGCTGTTCAAGTTTCCACCTCGCCCAGAAGGAGCCACTGCAAGGTAAAGGTGTGGAGTCCCAAGGCAGGGGTGGCGAGAAAGGAGGCAACATAAAATATATAGAAACAAAAGAAGTAGATGGGTGAATCTGGAAATATGCAATTGTAAATTTTCCAAAATTATGAGAAGAGAGAGAGAGCAGAAAATGAGGCTTTGTTTAATCCTACTGTGCTGTGAATAGAGAATAGTCTGTTTGAACAATCTCTGTGGTGAGAACCAGTTGGCACACACGTGAATTCCCACAGCACCAACAGCCTTCTGAAAGCAGCAGAATTTTTGACAAGCATTTCAGATCCAAACCAGAAACAGCAGAGGAGTTGTCCTCTATAGTCAACTTAAAAGAAGTTTTAAACAAAAACAGTGAGTGGAAAATTCTGTATTTTTACCTATCATGTGGCCCTGTTGACCTAACTTAATAAATTAACTAAGAGCTTTGAAGTTGACTGGAACTTATGACAATTATTCCCAGGGTTTCCTCATTATAGAGCATTCAGAAGTGGTTTACCATTCCTTTCTTCTGAGGATGCCTTGGTACTATGCAGCTTGTTCAAGTTACATAGGCTGGCTCTACTCCTACAAAGCATAGTGAGGAATCAAGCTACCAGATGATATAGACTCACTAGGCTATCTCGCCAGCCCAGATCAACTATACGTGCAGTCCAATAAATAGCAGCAGCACCAATCACCTGTCAAAAGGTGAGGAATGGGAGATATGAAGCAAGCAGGATGAATCTAACTCCTCCTTTCCCCTCCCAAAATGGATGACAAGGTGGTCTGTCATTGTCTAAAACACAGTAGCGAGCCTCACCCAACTTAGGATGCTATTGTCATTCTTATATACCCTTAGATATTACAAGTGTTTTTGCCAATGAAACAACATAGCAAAACTATCGAGAAAACAGAATGTCAAATCTCCTAAGAAGCTTCTGTTAGAAAAATGAAGAGGTAATGAAAAGGGGTGGGGGTGAGGAGTTTCTGGAAAGGAATGGTGTATCAGAATACTATAATTTATCTGTGACTCCCCTGCTGGATATGATTTTGGACTGATTTGATTACATCTTCTGCCCTGTTCACTGTTCCACCTGATCTGGCTTGATTCTGGACTTATTACTGAACTTTGCCTTTTGATCTCCCTCACCTGGTTTAAATGACTGGTTGGCAAGGCTTCGTCAGTCTGAGCAGTGCCTCCTTACTCTGCTTCTGGATCTGCCTGCTTGGTTTGCTTAGGTCTGCTGACCTGCATTGATCTCAAATTGCCAAATCATTGTTCCCGGGGCCAGCCCTTCTAGGAACAGGACACAGACTGGGTAATCTCCCAAACTTAGATTCCCAGATATTCTAGGACTACAACTCTCAGAAATCCTGGTCAGCAAAGCTAATGGTGAAGACTTCTGGGAGTTTTAGTCCAAGAACATCTGGAGACTAAATGCTGAAAACCATTGCTCTATAAAGCATATTACATACGTGAATGTATTTTAAAAATCTGCCTCTTTTTGTTACACTTTATAACTTTTATGCAGCTGGTGTCCGAAGATAGGATGCCATTGCCAGTAAACATCGATAAAGCACCTTCCCCCAGTTTTATGTGTAAAGAGTTTTCTTCAAATGACAAATTAGAAAGAAAATTAAAAATTAATAGCAAACAATGTCACACTTCAAAAATACATTTCAAAAACCTGTCTTTTTTTACCATGCAGTTTCTTCTTCCCATAGTGCAGGTAATATATTAATAGAAAAGAGTCTTCTTATAACTAGTTTTATTCTATATGGAAAGACACTTACAAATCCCACAAACTGCAGTTGTTGTTGTTTAGTTGTTAAGTCGTATCCGACTCTTTGTGACCCCACAAACTACAGTACTGGGGTTGAATAATCTAGTGTGTCCTTCTGGACACAATATTCCTATTCTGTTTCCATTAAGGGTGTTCAGGGGTACATGGTTAGTGATTCTCAAATTTTTCAATGAAAGTACAGTGCTGGGATGAATGAATAGACAATGGGGTCATTGGAAGCAGAGACACAGATGATAATTAAGTCATATACACAGGAAATGTGGAGTAATAAAGGCCAATATATTAACATAAAATGGTAGGCCATGTTAAGAGAGGAAGCTGGAGTCAAAAGACAGAAGAAAACGCACAAATTGGCACAGTGTGATCGGATGTTATTTTTTCTGGAGATGCAGAAATGTAATAAACACCAAGTGAGCCCTTCCTGTTCTTATCATACTTTTCTCCATATCAAGCTTCTTTGGCAACTGATCCTCAATAGCCCTGCACTAGTGAAAAGCACCCAATGTGTGTCTTGGATTCTAAACAAGTGAGCCCTTCCTGTTCTTATCATACTTTCCCCCATATCAAGCTTCTTTGGCAACGGATCCTCAATAGCCCTGCACCAATATACAGTCTAGTGAAAAGCACACAATGTGTGTCTTGGATTCTAAACGTGTACAACAAATTATGGCAGGGTGGCAAACATGTGGCCTTCTAGTTCAGTGCTTCTGACATTGGAGGCCCCAGATTTTCTTGAAGCGTAACTTCCAGAAGCCCTAGTAATGCCACCAATGGACATGGCTTCTAAAAGCTATCATTCTAAACACCTGGAGCCCAAAGTGTGGAAACCTGCGTTCTACATTTCCATCAATCCCAGTCAGTATAATTGGTGGCGAGGAATGATGGGAAGTGCAGCCTGACAATGTCTGGAAGCCCACATGTTCCTTGTCCTTAACTTGTGGTACCAAAAGACTCATTGCAGTGGGTCTCAAAGGCTACAAAATCTTGCCCTAAGGAGCCAGAGTCAGCTTCATATCCTGCTAAAGGCCCATTCTGAGTAGCTTCAAGAGTATCTGAGAGGGATAGTCCATTGCAGGACCACATATTCCACAGCCGCTGAACCTCATCTTCTGTCAACATGCAACTCTTCCACTGTACTCTCCCTTCCCACGAGTTTCTGGCTCCAGTCCATAAATGGTGCTTAACTGAGTATCTATCAGGGATTGAGTGAAGAAAATAGTAGTTCAGATCCTGGCAATTATATCCTGCCAAGGATACCAGGAAAATTCGCAGCCTCATTCTGTACTATTGATCTTTTTGAACTTTGCATGTAACAGCAACCTTGAACCATTATGAGTGTCACTGCACTTCACTCCTAAATATCCCAAGCAAATTTGTGGCTAGAAACACAAGTGCAACTCATCACCCTATGATATTTCTCTCCTTCTCATCACTACCTCAACCATTTCACAAAGCCTCAATAGATATCCACCTATTCCAGCACCAAACATATCCCACAGCCAGGGGTATACCAAAACCATAAAGACATAGAAATGAATTTGTATGTAGGCTTTTTTTCTCCTGCCAAAGTTTACTAAGTACTTTGTTGTTGTTTAGTCGTTTAGTCGTGTCCCACTCTTCATGACCCCATGGACCAGAGCACGCCAGGCCCTCCTGTCTTCCAGGCCCTCCTGTCTTCAAGTACTTACAAGCACACAATTTAAATTACATGCTAGAGATATGAACAAAACATCCTTGTCATTTAAAGTAGAGGTGGGCAAATTGTAGCCCTCTAGACTGGACTGTAATTCCCAGTAGCCCTAACCAACACTGAGGAACACTGAGAATAATGAGTCTAACATTATCTAGAGCAGTGGTTACTTGGGTAACCCAGGTGTTCTTGGACTGCAACTCCCAGAAGCCTTCACCATTAGTTGAGTTGGCTGGGGTTTTGGGAGCTGTGGTCCAAAAATTGTTGGCTTTTGTATTTCTTCCGTACAGTCTAATGCTTTTAAATCTATTTTCAGTCTGCCAGCCCACTGTGTGTAATTCATCTTTGTTAATTCTGAAAGTTTACCACAAAATTCCTTGTTCTGAATTAAATCCATTTACTTTCTTTAACATAGGCTGGCTACACTTAGTTTACAGCAGACCTGGGCAAAGTGTGGGTCGAGGGCCACATACGGCCGCAAGCCGCTCCTGTCCGGCCCGCAGACAGTTTTGAACATCAAAACCATATATAGATTTTTGTCTAAAGTTGATCAGTTGCTTATCTTTAACATACCGCAAAAAACCACATTAGTATTTGTGAAGATTAACAAGTTTAAAATAAAAACAATCATAACATCACTTTCATTTTATTTTTAAGTAAAGTTGGTTCGGCCCCCAAACACAGTTCAGATTTTTCATGTGCCCCCCCTATAGAAATTAATTGCCCACCCCGGTTTACAGGGAGAAGAAAATTGTTGTTGTTTGCTCTTTGTTTTAGTTACTGTTGCACCTCAGCAATTGTATTATTTCATGAACTTTAGTTCACCTCAGACTGACTTTCTTGTGAATTTTAGCAGATTAGGTTCAGCTCTGTCTTCCTGTCTTAGGCGGTCCAGTTTTACCTCAGAATTTGTTCTGGCTTTTCAGTCTTCTGTAGACTTTATTTCTATGTGGGCTTTTTATCTTTCTGTGGACTTCTATTTAGTCTGAGCCACCACAACAATCTCAGCTACCACAATCTGAGCTCCTACAATCTGAGTTTGTCACACTCTGGACTCCCACAGACTGGATTCTGGAACTGCCGCACAGATTGGATTTCCACAGACTCTAGATTTCCACATG